TCCGACCGGTCTTCACTTCGGAGCAGCTCACTGCGTCCTTATGGGCTACGTTCCTAGCTGCCACAGTAATCTGAGCAGTTGTACTCGTCGACACAGAGGCTCTCCATCGAGACATTCTAGCCTCCCTCTCCTCCAACACCACAATCTCTTCTCATCTCGCTTCCCCCAACCTCCCCAACCTCCCCAATTCCTGCTGGTCCGTTGATGCTGAAGGCCTGTTAAGGCTGGACAACTGCATTTACGTTCCGGATTCTAATGATCTCCATCTCCGCATTTTGCGAGACAAACACGACCACCAACTTTCCGGACACTTCGGTCAAAACCGGACTCTGGATCTAGTACGTCGTGAGTATACCTGGCCAGGCATCTGTAACTTCATCAAGAGTTATGTATCCTCCTGCACTTCTTGTGCCTGTGCCAAAGTCCCTCGTCATAAGCCTTACGGCTTGCTCAAACAACTCCCCATCCCCAAACGCCCTTGGAACTCCATCTCCATGGATTTCATCAAACAGCTACCCTCCTCTTCTGGATTCACTTCCATCTTGGTCGTCGTGGACCGCCTGTCCAAACAGTGCATTTTCATCCCTACCCACGACACCATCACCTCTCCGGAACTGGCCAAGCTCTTCCTCCTCCATGTGTTCTCCAAGCACGGAGTCCCTTCCCACGTCACCTCCGACTGGGGTCCGGAGTTTGTCTCTCATTTTTTCCGTTCACTTGGTAAGGCCCTCAACATCTGTCTCCACTTCACCTCCGGTTATCATCCGGAAGGAGACAGTCAGACCGAACGGATGAACCAGACGCTCGAGCAGTACCTGCGCATCTACAGTAACTACCAGCAGGACAATTGGTCCAAACTCCTGCCTCTCGCGGAGTTCGCCTACAACAACGCTCCGAATGCCACCACAGGGGTCTCTCCATTCTTCACCAACAAAGGCTACCACCCGAACATTACCATTCACCCGGAGCGAGACCTAACATCAGTACGTGCCCAAGAGTACTCCGTAGATCTCGACTCCCTCCATCACTTCCTTCGCGAGGAAATGCATCTCGCTCAGATCCGTTATCAGGGCCCTGCAGACTCCCGTCAGAGTCCTGCCCCAGCTTTCGAAGTAGGAACCTCAGTCTATGTAAAGGCCAAGTATTTCCGCTCCACCCGACCTTCCAAAAAGCTCTCCGAGAAGAACCTCAGTGTCATATCCATACAATCCCGACCTCCGCTCCGGGCTCCTGGAACTCCGAACCCCGACTTCCGGAGCCCTACTTCCCTTCCATCACTTTCTCCTTGCCGACTCCCAAGAGGTTATCCCACCTCCGGCTCGGACACCACCTTCGGTCCGACTCCAGAACATTCCGGGTCCGACCTCATCCTCGACACCTTCCAGACGAGCACGCAACACCTATGTTCCCAACTCCGGACCTCCACTCCGGAATCCTGTTTGCGTCTCCGTCTCCGGAACCTCCGGTCTTAGCTCCGACCTCGGACTTTGACCCCACCTCCGCTTATACCCATTGTATTGGTTAGCTCATTCCATTTAATTACCTTTGCCAATATTCCGGAGTTTAACCTCCGAGTTCGGACTTTCCGGACTTACTCCGGACCTTGCAACTATTGCATTGTCCATTTCAATTCCGCTATTCTCCCTCATTCCTATTTGGGCTGCTGCTTCCTTTCTATTCAGTCAGCTAGCCATTCCCGACTCCCATCCTCCTTCCTTCCTTCTTGGGCCTTGGCCCTTCATTCCTCCTTTGGGAAACACCATTGAGTCGAACACTTGACCCTCGGTGTTGTTCCTCTTTCCATCTCCCTTTGTCTCCTTTCATCCTACCCTTGTTCCTTTTGATTCCGGACCCCTCCTTATATACAATGTACCTAGTAACTTGTAACCTCAGTCCGAAATCAACATGAATTCCCCCCCAAGAGACTTTCCCTCTGCTAGATCCGAAATTAGGGACCCCTAGGACAACCAGCAATGGCACAGCGCTCCGCCTGAGTCGCTGAGGCCGAGGTCCTTCCACGCTAAGTCTCCGATTCCACTCCGGAGTCGTCCGAATCCGCAAGTTCTAACACTCAGCCCATTCGAGATCATCACCCGCATTGGAACTCACTCCCTCACTCTACGCCTGCTGGAAAACATGCGAGCCATTCACCCGGTATTCCATGTCTCGCAGATCGAACCCTCCGTCCCAAACATCATTCCGAACCACCACCAGCCACCTCCGCCTCCCATAGAAATCGAAGGCGAGATGGAGTTCAAGATCAAGGAGATACTCGACTCCAAGATTGACCAACGTAGATGCAACAAGTTGCTCTACCTGGTCAAGTGGCTAGGCTATGAAGGGACCGACGAGGAGACACAATGGCTCCTTGCTGGCGAACTCGATCATGCCACCAACCTCGTCGAAGCGTTCCACTCTCGGTACCCAGATAAGCCTGGACCCGAAGCTCCCTAGGAACCCTGACTCCTCTCCCATCTCTCCTTTTCTCTCCACTCCTCACTTCCATTTTCTTTTTTTCTTTTCTGTAAGTACAGCTCCCCTCACCTTACTAATTCTGGGCCTTCAAGGATTCAGGCCTAAGAAGGGGATACTGTCATATCCATCCCCGGTGTCAGGGACCGGTCCGGGGTCGAGAGCGTCTGGGTATATCGCCCGGCACTGAGGGCCCGGTGGGGTGTGAAGCGGGCACGTACGGCAATGGGTCCGGTGCAGGCAGATGTCCCTGAAGTGGGAATGGTGAGAAGAAGACTGCTTCTCTGGTTCCCACCCCAGGTATGTTTATATACATGGTGCTCAGGTCACATGAGAGTTGCCACGTCGTCCCCATGCACAGCCCCAGCCACCTGGGTATTCCCATGGGGGATCCCGAAGGGATCCGCTGCAGGCGCACGTGCTGGGCATACCCGGGGGTCGTCCGGAGCATCTGGGGCTGGGTGCGTCGTGCATGGGTCATGGGTGGGTTAGTAGTACATCGATCAAGGAAAGTCGTCTGTGTAAATAGAAATAGGAAGAATAGAGAATGAGACAGAGAAGAAATAAGAAGAGGGGGAAGTGGAGGGAGGAGGAGACAGGAAGGGGAAGAAGGGGGTAGTGGGTGGGGTGGAGCCGGGTGGAGCCGGGTGAGGCGGGTGTGCCCTGACACCCGGCCATCGACTTCCGATCCCTCCGATCCCTCCAGTCCATCTCCGCTCCTTCTTCACTAACCTCGGAGCTGTCATATCCATACAATCCCGACCTCCGCTCCGGGCTCCCGGAACTCCGAACCTGACTTCCGGAGCCCTACTTCCCTTCCGTCACCTTCTCCTTGCCGACTCCCAAGAGGTTATCCCACCTCCGGCTCGGACACCACCTTCGGTCCGACTCTGGAACATTCCGGGTCCGACCCCAACCTCGACACCTTCCAGACGAGTACGCAACACCTATGTCCCCGACTCCGGACCTCCGCTCCGGAATCCCGTTGGCGTCTCTGTCTCCGGAACCTCCGGTCTTAGCTCCAACCTCGGACTTTGACCCCACCTCCGCTTATACCCATTGTATTGGTTAGCCCATTCCATTTAATTACCTTTGCCAATATTCCGGAGTTTAACCTCCGAGTTCGGACTTTCCGGACTTACTCCGGACCTTGCAACTATTGCATTGTCCATTTCAATTCCGCTATTCTCCCTCATTCCTATTTGGGCTGCTGCTTCCTTTCTATTCAGTCAGCTAGCCATTCCCCACTCCCAACCTCCTTCCTTCCTCCTTGGGCCTTGGCCCTTCATTCCTCCTTTGGGAAACACCATTGAGTCAAACACTTGACCCTCGGTGTTGTTCCTCTTTCCATCTCCCTTTGTCTCCTTTTGTCCTACCCTTGTTCCTTTTGATTCCGGACCCCTCCTTATATACAATGTACCTAGTAACTTGTAACCTCAGTCCGAAATCGACTTGAATTCCCCCCAAGAGACTTTCCCTCTGCTAGATCCGAAATTAGGGACCCCTAGGACAACCAGCAATGGCACAGCACTCCGCCTGAGTTGCTGAGGCCGAGGTCCTTCCACGCTAAGTCTCCGATTCCATTCCGGAGTCGTCCAAATCCTCGCATTCTAACAGGAGCTCCCATATTCCGCAATCCCCTCGGTACCCCTCAATGGTCACCACCCCCTCCTTTCAATTTATTACCTATGCCTCCCTAAGTACGGAGCCCCAAAGGCTTCCGGACAGCTCCGACGTCCGCTAGTGCACTCCTGCCTCCGCTGGGCAATACACTCGCTTGCCCTGCAGAGCCCACCTTCGGGCCTATCCCTCCTTTCCGTTTCTGGGTTATCTCCTGCCTTTCCATTAACCCCGTAACCCGACTTGTCAGTAATATTCAATCAGCTAATGTCTAACCCTGTTAGCTCCACTCCACCATTTGCGGACCCGCCTTCGCTGTAACTATATATACCCAACTTGTACATAGGTTACACTTCAGTAATAAAATCGACTAGAGTTTATCCCCCTTCAGTTCTGGTTGCCAGTTTAGTAAGTTAGGGCATGGACGTGTTACTTGGCACAGCGCTCCTGGCATAAGTCGCTGAGGCCGAAGCCCTCCGCCACAGAGACACTCCTTCGTCTCGACCTGGTCTCTGACAATGCCCTAGACAATGATCAAGCCGGAATGAAAAAGTTTGCCAAATTTTGGAAGCTGAACGATCAGCCCAGGCACATTCGGACGCATTGGATGCTGTAAAGAAGGAGCTGGACCGAATCAGCTTAGCACAAACACTGTCCCATGGTCCTATCGATCTCATGGAGCATTTCCAAGCCGCTCAGCATGTACAATTGTTGCATGATAAATCTCAAGAATGCCTATGCGATCTGACAGCTCAAATTGGCCTGTCCAATTTGAAACTTCTGCAAAATCCGTCTAGCACAGAAAGGGACTACATGGAGAAGTACATTCTGGCCTGATTCTGCAAACATGCCATCCTTATCCACTTAGCCAAGTACCAGGACAAGATTAACCCTATTCAGAGCTCACAATGGCATGGAGGACAGCTGGTTACAAAAGTCGGTAAGCATACCCCATTTGAGGCGAATTCTGATGTGCTCGAAAATTCATCCAGTACTTTGAGGATATTCAAAATGGTCTCAGTGTTCAGTAGCGCAAACGACCGTGCCCGTATTATTTCTGCCCATGTTGCACAATATAACAAGCTTGTCGACTGCCTCAAGTGTTCTGTTAGGCCATCCTGGGCTCCCGGGCTCTTTGAAACATGCCAAAATGAATGTCAAGGAGCTGCTTAACATGGATCCCAGTGATGAACAGTGGACAAAGATGTGGGAGAGCCTGTGGGATTCCAACTGGAACTTGGATGAGAAACCACCAGCTTTTATCGTTGACCAACAGGTTTGCCATGGCATAGTAGCGGTGCTATCACTCGCTTGTATTGAGGAGGAAAAGCTTAGGCTCACTCGAGAGGAACTTAATGCACGCACCTGGACTGTCCAATCGGTAGACTTGTTGATTTGGATCACGGACGATATTCATCATATGTCCTACAAATTCCACATTACTCAAATGCCGTGATACGATCGTGAACAGACCGTTTCCTCATGTCAATCTATGGCATGCATTGCCGCACTATCTGCTAGCAAATCTAGAATGTCCAGACTCCCAAGCTGCACTGAGTACTGCGGAGTATTCTTCTTTCCACCTTCCCCACCCCCCCCCCCTGGTTCTGTTGAAATAACCACCTCAGCCTATCAGGGCGTATGGTGTAATGGCTGTGCACGCTGAGTTCGCGATCCAGAAGACTGGAGTTCGATTCCCAGTATGTCCAACTTTTAGGTTTCCCTAAAAGACCACGTGCAAATTCCAACATGGTGGACATTCTGCGGAATACACCGAGCACACCCAAATCCGGTTGCTGCCACGTGAGCTGGGCACGTGAAGTCAAGCATTAAATTAGCCGGCCTGACAAAGTTTCAGGGGGTGTAGCTCAGAGCACTAAGGACCCAAATCCGGCTGCTTCAGACCACATGACATGGACATGTAGGAGATTAGCAGTAAGTCCGGCCTGAATATGAATTCAGGGGGTGACGGCTCACAGGTTGTTGGAACCCCGGTGGTTTGGGTCACATGTGGATCACATGGTCGATCCAATGTGAAGGGGGTGTGTTGAAATAACCACCTCAGCCTATCAGGGCGTATGGTGTAATGGCTGTGCACGCTGAGTTCGCGATCCAGAAGACTGGAGTTCGATTCCCAGTATGTCCAACTTTTAGGTTTCCCTAAAAGACCACATGCAAATTCCAACAGGTTCTGCCACTCTGGCCTCAGGAACCAATGGCATAGACCCCAAAGATGATTCTCAAGTTAGAAATGAGCTAAGCACACTCGATGGACTTATCAGGATGAGCCCAGAGCTGGGTGTAGCTGATGACGATGAGCATGTTGAGCCCTACCTGTCTACCGACAGTGGCAGTGGCCCAGGCGATACTCTTGGCCCTGAGATGCCAGTAAACCCTCCAGATAGCGAACCTGAGACATGGCCAGATGAGACAATGGACCCCACAGACAATGTCGAAACACATGCTGAGCCTCTTACCGACTTGGTCCCTCCTAGTGGGTTTGGAGATGTGGATAGTCCCAGCTGTGATGAGGATATTGAGGAGAGGTTCTGGAATGAGAACCCTCGTCCCCAAAGCCTTCCTCCAATTAGAACAATCTTCAATGCCATCCACTCACCCACCCAGTCTACCCAACAACAAAAGCCAACAAAAATCTGGAAGGAAATAACAGAGTTGCATTTACCTCAAGAGACTGAAAAAGTAAGAATGTTTCCAAGTTCCCCTGTGAATGACAGCAGACCAGAGACAAAGCAAGATATTACAAACATATTGCGATCTTCCCTGATGCACTACCAACAGTCAATCACTGGCAGCTGATACACAGAGCAATAATCGATGCCTATGTTGAGATGCTGAAAGACCTTACAGATGAAAAGCTGTGGGACATACTCAAGACCATGCGTCCCTGTGTGATTATGTTTCCTACCCAGTGTGAAGGAATGAGACATTGTATGGCAGTTCACCTGTTAGATGTATGTGTGTGAGGTCTCAGTGGGTAGCTCAGCACACAGAGCTGTAAGTGATACAAAGATGTGTATTTTATGGTGTGTGTAAGCAGTTAACGGAAGTTACCGCTTACCCACGTGACTATATGTATCTTGTAATTACATATGGCTCAGGGTTTGGGGCTATTGCCCTGACATTCTCCCCCCTTGCATTGCATTTGCGATGCATACAAGTTTAATGATGAAGAGAATAAAAAATGAGTTACATTGAGTTTGATATTATCAATGAGTGTTTTATTGTCGCCACTTTAAAGTGGACGATTTATACATGTCGGTGAGAGGAATTCAGGGAATAAATGAGTGTGGGGCTGTCACTTTGAAGTGAATGGCGATACATGGGTATCACAGAGGGGAAAGTGATGGAGAGAAGGAGTTTTTCGAAAATGAATTTCGATCCAAAGATTATATGTCTTTGGTGTTCCTCCTCACTTGTTCTGTGAGGATTCGTGTGTAAATGGTGTTTACACATGAGTGGTGGTGGATGTGGGTTTTGACGAAGTAGAGATTTCTGCAATTGTTACTTGTGGTTCCTCGCATACAATATTGTGTGTGGGGCCTTGAGTTGGGGGAAGGTGTTTTCACAGGCGCCTCAATGGTGTATTACTGTGTCACTTTCCCTTTCCTCAAGGGTAGAGTTATTGCCCCAGAGGAGGATTTTCCTCCGGGTTGTTCATCTGGACATCCGATTGCTGCATCGGATGCGATGATGTAGCCTGGGCTACATTGTCAAGCTGTGGGCTCGACGAAGTGGGCGCTCCCTGGGTGGGAGTGGGTTGTTGCGTTCCTGAGCTACTTGGCTCAGGTGTAGAGTACAGTAAGTTTACTGTTCTTCCTGTGGGGAAGGGTGGTCGCTGGCCTGTTTGTCCAGTGCAGAGACTTGCATCTCTTTCCCGGTATTTGGAAGCTTTCGCTTCCCACTCCGCAGTTCTTGCAGTGCATTCCTCAGGAGTCCCGAGTGGTTTGGACTGGGACTTTATATAGGCAGCTTTGCCTAGACTTTCCCAGGAGATTTTTCCCTTGTTCTCCAGGGAATTGTACTCCTCCACGAGTCTTGCAATACTTGGGAGTCCCAAGAAGTATTTCTCAGTTTCCTTGCTTTTTCGCAAAGGACTCTATGTACCTTGCCGCTTTTAAAGGCGGCTTCAGCCTGTTCATACCAGTGTACAAATTCTTTCCCACTCATGCTTGTCCACCAAGCATATGCGGCATCGTGCGCCACTTCTGACCCCGCTATTCTCCTCATGGGGAAGTTGGGGTCGATTGTTATGTTGACTGGAGCTTCGACTTTACTGAACTCGTTGAGTTCAGCAGTCTCGTATAGCATGTGGACACTTCCCTGCAGGGTAGCTTGCCCATAGGGTGCTGAGGTACTCAGTGGCCCGCCACCTCTGGCAGTGGTCCCTGTTTTGGGGTCTGCCATCATGTTAGAACTGGGCGAGGGCGGACAATTCCAGAGGGGAACCAGAGACTTAGCAAGGAGGGACCTTGGCCTCAGCAACTCAAGTGGAGGGCTGTGCCATTGCTGTTTGTCCAGGTCCTTAATTTCATAGGAGGCGAGCAGGAAGTCTCTAGGGGGCATTTCAGGTCGATTTTAGACTAAGGACTAAAACGAGTATGTACAAGCGCCGATATATATAATGGAGAGGGCGAAAGCACAAGGGAACAAAGGGGATCCGAATCGGAACGAAGGTCAGGGTAGCCTGCCCACGGGGTGGCAGGATAGTCAATGCCCCAGCACCGTATCCCCTCCCCCTGACCTGGGAGGCCCCCATCATGATGAGTTTGGCAGCAAGGTCTGCCAGTGCATGTGCCTCTTTGAGCTCGCATTTTAGTAATTCGATCTCCCTCTTTTGGAGACCGACTTCTCTCTTTGTGTCTTTCAGAGAGGTGAAGATGCCCCCGGCACCCCTCGTGCTCTATTGTACTCGCACCTCCAATGGGTGCAATTATCGCAGGCATCATCTGATGCCCTCGAGTTATCAGACCATGCCCGTTTGGATGGCCTGGACAAGGAGCCGCTGTTGCTCCCTCATCTCCCTCCTACGAGGGACTTCATCTCTTTCAGCTCCTGATGGAGTTGGCCTGTCTGAGCAGCTACCGCTGATGCGATAGCTGATTCCCAGCCTGCATTTGGCTGAGGTGTTGTTGGACCTTGGCCGAATTGGCCGATCCAGGGGGTGATTTGGCCAGGGAAGTTCCCTGGGGAGTATGCCTGGGGCTGCAGCAGCAAATGCTGCTCCTGGAATGGCGCTTGTTGCACCATCAGTGCAGTTTGCACTGCGTATGGTTGGAAGCTCCTTTGAGGAGGCTGGGGGTATGCGGTGCCTGTTGGCATCATGGATGGTTGTTGGTTTGCAGCACTCATTTGTGCTGTGTGCATTGTGTAGTCCATGGCGCTTATCTGTGCCTGGTGTTGTTGTTGTTCTGGGTGTCAGAGACCGGATCAAGACGAAGGAATTGTCTCCATGGCGGAGGGCTTCAGCCTCAGTGACTCAGGCCAGGAGCACTGTGCCAAGTTACACGTCCATGCCCTAATTTACTTACTGGCAACAAGAACTAAAGGGGGATCAACTCTAGTCGATTTTATCACTGAGGTGTAACCTATGTACAAGTTAAGTATATATAGTTACAGTGAGGGCAGGCCCGTGAATGATGGGGCTGAGCGGAGTGGAGCTAATGGAGTTAAACATTAGCCGATTGAATATTACCGACAAGTTGGGTTATGGGGTTAGTGGAATGGCAGGCGATAACCCAGAAACAGAAAGGAGGGATAGGCCTGAAGGTGGACTTGCAGGGCAAGCAAGTGAATTGCCCAGTGGAGGTGGGAGTGCACTAGCAGACATTGGAGCTGTCCGGAAGCCTTCAGGGCTCCGTACTTAGGGAGGTGTAGGTAATATATTGAAAAGAGGGGGTGGTGACCATCAAGGGAGGCAGAGGTGATTGCGGAATACAGGAGCTCCAAGGTTAGTGAAGAAGGAGCGGAGGTAGACCAGAAGGGTCGGAGGTGGTGGAAGACGATGGCCATGGATGGATATGACACAGTTGCAAAGTTAGAGGTGTCGCACTCAAGTTTGAAGCGACCTGTATCAGTGGGGAAGGCAAGGACTGGGGTGGAGGTGATGGTGTCTTTGAGGGTGTGGAAAGCACAGTCTTCACCTGGCCCCCAGGCCCGTGCTTTGATTTTGCAGGTCAGTGCATGGAGGGGGCAGGCTGTCTCGGAGAAGTCCTTGATAAACCGGTGATAGAAGTTGACAAACCCCAAGAAGGACTGTACTTCTTGGACCTTGGTTGGGGTTGGCCAGTTGAGAACTCCGTGGACTTTCATGGGATCCATCGCAATGCTTCCCTCAGAGATGATGAGGCCGAGGTACTCAATCTGCTTCTGCTTGAACTTACACTTCTCCGGCTTCAAGAAGAGCCTCCACTTCCGCAGCATCTCTAGGACCTCTCAGACGACCCTCCGGTGCTCCTCTAGGGTGGCTGTGAAGATCAAGATGTCATCCATGTAGCAGATGACAACCTCTCGATCAATGAAGTCTTGGAGAATGTCGTTCATCATTGTCTGGAATGTTTCTGGGGAGTTACACAGGCTGAAGAACATAACGGTAGGCTTGCACAGTCCCTGGTTGGTCGAAAATGCTGCTTTCCACTCATCGCTGTCCTTGATGCACGTTGTTAAATCCCCAGTGCAGGTCTAGCATCGAGAAGTATTTGGTGTTTTGGAGGCATGCAAGGATGTCCGAAATGAGTGGGAGGGGGTACAAGTTTTTGACTGTGATCTCGTTGAGGTTTCGGTAATCTTGGACTAGGCACAATGATCTGTCCTTCTTCTTGATGAAGAAGACCAGCGCTCCCATCGGGGATTTGGATGCCCATATGCACCTGTTCTGCAGGTTCTCATGCAGGAACTCATCTAGTTCTTTCTGCTCTGGCTGCAACAGGGGGAAGGTCCTCCCTCTCGGGAGCTTGGCATCTGGCACTAGGTCTATTGCGTGGTCCCAGGGCTTCTGTGGAGGCAGCTGGTCGAAGGTCTCCTTCGAGAATACATCTCTGAAGTCCTGGTACTGTTCTAGGACTAGTGCCTCGAACAGTGCAGGCTCCACCTCTGGTTCGCAGGCCTCCTGGGCCATCTGCTGGGACAGCGTGGTCGCTCTCAGTTCGTGTCCCCACCCCAGAGGGATAATAGTGGCGTTGTTGTGGGGACAAGTCCGTGCAGGTCAAACCAACCCTTAACACACATTTCACCCCCTACTGCATCAGGGACTAGGATTGGTGAGTCGTGGTAATAGTAGGAGTTGTAGCGACTGTGGAGATGGTTCTGACGAGTTCAAGATCGTCGGATTTGGTGGAGTGGTTGAGGAGATATGACTTGTTCTTTATTTTCCTTACTATTTTCATTCATTCACACATGTGACTTTCCTTTTATTTTTGTATCGGACTCTTCCATGACAACTGTACAGACAGTTAGTTAGAGGTTAGACAGAGAGTATCAGCACTGTACTCCGCAGGACCCACATCTACCTGACACTAGAGAGAGACCTACCCCCCCCCAGACCTGAGTTGCGAGTCTAGTTGGATAGACCCGTTACAGCGTAAATCCCATTGCCAGGTTCCACTACAGGTTCTGGGTCGGCCCATCCTTGCGTTGACTGGCAGGAGGATGGGCAGTGGGACATACTGACCTTTTGCTGTGTCCAGTCTACCTCTGGGTTGTGGTGGAGCAGCCACAAGTGTCCTATGATGAGGGATTGCCACCCAAGGTTCGCGACAGCGAAGCAGGCCCGCTCCATGTGCCACCCAAACGTCAGGAGG